CATTATACTTATCTCCTTCCCACTGTTCCTGAACCCCTTCTTCCCAACAAATTCCCCTCCTACTTCTATGTTGTTTTTTGTTTTGTTTTGTTTTTTCTATGTAGCTGTAGCCCTGACTGGCCTGGAACTCACTATGTAGACCAGGCTGACCACAAACTCAGAGAGCAACCTGACTCTGCCTCCCAAGTCCTGGGAATAAAGGCATGTACTACCATACTCAGCATTTTTTTTTTTTTAATGATTCTTGGAGTTTAGAGTTATTTACATGAGGCTGGGTATTGTCCCTTCTTTCCCTGGCAACCATTAATTGCCAATAGCTCCTCTGCTAAATGGTACAGTTTCATGAGCTTTTCCACTATCCCTTATGGATGGGCTCAGTCTTGTGTAGATACCCATTCAGGTAATTACAGCTGCTGTGACCTCCCCATCCACAGGCATTTGACCAGGTTACAGTGCCAGGGATGGATTTCTTCCTTGGGAGTAGGTTTCAAACCCAATCAGAAAGTAGTTGATTTTACCCCCATAACAGTCATGCCACTATTGCATCAGTAGCATTATCCCAGTAGCCTGTACAGCACCTTCTGGTATTATGAAAGCTAGCCAGCAAGGAGGAAGCTTCCAGCTCATTTCTAGCTTGATTTTGTATGTCCTGCAACCAAAGTACATGGTATCTTCGGCAATAAGGTCTTACTGTCTAGATCTAGTGGGTAACCAAGAGCAATGACAATGGTCGGTATTGTTTTGTGGTCCCTTGATGTCTCCCCTGATCAACAGTTCATAGGGAGTTGGCTGTGGATTTTCATTTAATAACTTGTGGCTTCTGGGAGCAACATTATCCACTCATAGAGGGTACCTCAGAACAAATTACTTTTTTTCTGTAGTTTTTAAATTAGCTTACAAAATAGTAGGTTTCCATATGGCTTTTTCATTTAAAAATGCTTTATTATACTTATTTATGTATATATGTGTGAGTACACACGTGCCACAGTATACATGTGGAGGTCAGAGGACGACTTGTTTCTCTTTCCACTATGTGGGTCTGGGGATGGAACTAAGGTTGTTAGGCTTGGTGGGAAGAACTTTTACTTGCTGAGACATCTCTCTGGCTTTCCATATGGCTTTTTCATATGTCCTTTGTTTGGTTAACTTTGCCCCTCCCCACCTCTTCTCCTCCATCTCCCTGCTCTATCCCCATGCTGGCCTGGGTACCTCACTCAGTTTATTTTCCAGTTCATCCATTTTTCCTGCAGCTTTTATAATTTCATTTTTTTCTTCGTAGCTGCATAAAATTCCATTGTGTATAAGTACTATGTTTCTTTCTTTTTTTTTTTTTTTTTTTTTTTTTAAGGGTTCCCCCCAACCCCAAAACGGCACGGAACACCCTATTAAATCTACGATGGCTTTTCATTTCAAAAATCCTAGTTTGCCATAGATTCTCTCTCTCCCTAACTACCCTTCAGGGTGTGTAGGCTAGTCGGAAAACCAGACGCAGTACAGAGCTAGCTAGTCACGCTTTGTTTTCTTTTGTTTTGTTTTGCTTTGTTTTTTGTGACAGGGTCTCCCCATAGCCCCAACTGGCCTGGAACTCACTATGTAGATCAGGCTGGCTTTTAATTCAGAGATCCTCCTGTCTTTCCCTCCCAAGTGCTGGGACTACTGCTACCATGCCTGGCAATAGTATGTTTCTTTTATCCATTCATCAGTTAATAAGCATCTAGGCTGATCCCATTGCCTAGTTTGTGAATAGAGCAGCAATAAACATGAATGTGTATATTCCTGTAGGAGGAAGTAGAGTCCTTTGGGTATAAGCCCAAGAATGGCATAATTGGGTCATGTTAGAAACCTAACATCTTTTTTTTTTTTTTGAGACAGGGTCTCCCAGTATCCCCAGCTGGCCTGGAACTCACTATGTAGACCAGGCTGGCCTTGAAATCACAGAGATCCTCCTGCCTCTGCCTGCAGAGTGCTCAGATTAAAGGCATGTGCCACCACGTCTAGCAGAAACCTCTATCTTAAAAAGTTCTAGATATTCTCTCCCCATCAGGGTCTCGCCATGTAGCTCATGCTAGCCTTCAACTCAGTGGGGTTATAGGCATGCACCACCATGCCATCATCATGGATAATTTTTTTTGCACATTGAACTTGGAACCATGATCTGTAGAATCTTTACCTCATCACTGTTTCCTGATTGTGAGGGTACTGATTTTAAGCCTTTTCACCCTGGCAAATTAGATCATTCCTTATACTCACCAGTAGTGGCCAGCTGCATAAAACCCTTGCTGAAAAGATAGAGTTAACATGACTCACTTCTGAATTTCAGGTGTCATTATATTCTTCTGAAAGAAGTCATATTTCATACTGAAACATGAAGTACTCAGTATAGGTAGCTACTGTTCTTTCTGTTTCTTTGTTTTGTTTCCTTGTTTTTTGTTTATTTGTTTTGTTTTGAAACAGGGTCTTCCTGTGGCCCCAGATGGCCTGGAACTCACTATGTAGACCAGGTTGGCCTCAATCTCAGAGATGCTCCTGCCTCTGCCTCCTGAGTGCTGGGACTAAAGGTGTCATGCCTCGCCAGCTACTGCTCTTTACTAAGCACATCTAACTACAATATTCTAGGAACAAGATTCATATGTACCCTCTTCGTTTGAGAGAGTAATGTTCCCTGCCCACAGGTGCAAACAGGACAAAAGTTACTTATCCTAGAGTCATAGCCACCTGTAGTCTGGTCACATTGCAAATAGTGATCAAGGAACTTGAATAGAATAAGCCCACAGGCTAATGCTAGGTTTCTCTTTAGAAGAGAAAGTTGCTGTTTAGAAGAGACAGTTGCTGTTAGCAGATGGAAAGGGTGTTTGCCAAGGCTCCAGCTTCTTGTCAGGGTCTTGGACTGATGCAAACCCTACTGCTGGGGCTAGTAGGGCTGGCCAAGTTTCTTTCTGTTGAGTCTTGTTTCACCCCTCACCCACCTTCAGCCTTACAGATGCTGGTTTATGCTTACATGATTGCAAGCTTTGTGCTGATTTTGGATTGAAAGCCTCTCATTGTTTTTGAGCTCAGTGTTTGGATAACACCACATGTCTATGGCATCCAGGCCCCTGTAAAGGAAATATCTGCTCTCTTAACAGTCTGGTCATTCATCTGGATGAGCAAGTGAGCGTGGCTTGTGTTCATTTCTGTATAGGGTTTATTACTTGGGGACTGCAGGGTTATTAGGCTTGTCCTTGATATTTGGAGTTCTGGGGATAGTTTTCTGTCTCTCCCTTGCTTCTACAGCACAGGAGCATTCTTCTGCTTGGTGAGAAGATTTCTTTGGGAGGGTGGGCGACACAGGTATGACTGGCTCTTGTTGGGGCAGGCCCTTTTTTATTTTTTTGGTCTTTTTGAGACAGGGTCTCCCTGTAGCCCCAGCTGTCCTGGAACTATGTAGACCAGACTGGCCTTGAACTCATGGAGCTCCGCCTGCCTCTGCCTCCCAAGTGCTGGGATTAAAGGTGTGCACCACCACACCCAGCTTGGCAGGCCCTTTTTATGACCATACAAGGTTGGCAGCTGTACCTGTGTTGGGGTTTTTCAGGGATGTTCTTTCCATGGCCTGTCTCTTTCACTGTCCCCATTGCTCTCTTACTGCACCCCAAAGGTTTAAATTTGTTAAAATGTCTTCCTTAAAAATGTCTAAATCTGGGACTGGAGAGATGGCTCAGCAATTAAGAGCACTGGCTGCCCTTGCAGAGGACCCAGGTTGGAATCCCAGCACCCACATGGTGGCTAACAACTGCCTGTAACTCCAGTTCCAGGGCATTCAACGCCATCTTCTGACCGTGAGCATTGCACAACATGGGCACACTTACATACATATAGGCAAAACAATCATGCACATAAAAATACAAATAAATATTTAAAATGTTCTAAGCATTATGCAACTACAAAAGAGTAAGTGAGCTAGAGCATACCACTCCTTAGTGAAGCTAGGTGAGAAATTACATGATTAACCAAAGTGTATTTCAAAGCTAAATACAAACTTGGGAATTGAAAAAGGAAGCAAGGGCCAGCAAGATGGCTCAGCAGGTAAAGCTGCTCGTCGCTGAGCCTTATGACCAGAGTTCAATTCCTGGGACCCATATAGCAGAAGGAGGGAACCGTTTTGCACAGGCCACAGGTCCTCTGATCTCCACTCCTACAACTGTGGCATGCGTGTACATGTGCTCTCTCTCTCTCTCTCTCTCTCTCTCACACACACACACACACACACACACACAATAAAAAAAGAGCAAAAACTTAAAAATTTTAAGAAGTTGAAGGTCATTTCAAGGTCAGTACCGGCTGCATGAGACCCTGTCCAAAAATAAAAATTACAAATCTTCTAGGCCCTAATTGAGGCCACTCAAATGATTTCTACAGATTGCAACCTTTTTTTCTCTACATCTGTTAGGAGTCTCATAGTAACACACAAACACACAGATACAACAAACATATAATTTTTTGTTGTTTGGTTGGTCAGGTCTCTCTGAAGCCTCAGCAGTCCTGAACCTGCCTCTGGCCCCCAAGTGCTGTGATGTGTTAAAGGCATGTGCCACCATGCCTGGCTATTTTTTTTTTTTTTAATTTTAAAAAACAAAGGGGCTGGAAAGATGGCTCAGCGGTTAAGAACACTGTTCTTTGCAGAAGACCTGGGTTTGAATCCCATCACCCACATGGCAGCTAACAACTGTAACTCTAGTTCCAGGGGATCTGACAGCCTCTTCTGTCCTCCTTGGGCACTGTGTGTCACGGGTGCACTTACCTACATGCAGGCAATACATGCATACACATTAAAAAAGTAACAACAAAAATCCCCGAAGACTGAGAATAAGTTACCTTGTATAGAAATACTCTTTCCCTGAAATTCTGATGTGTAAGCCTGACAAGGCAGTCAGACATGTGTGAAGAAACACATGTCAGCATGTTTTATAGGCTCTTAGCCAGCCTGCTTAGACTTGATCCCTATGCTTTCTGCCTTCCAGTTCTCTCCTGCGCTATGGTGGCAACCTATCCCTTCAAAGTGCCATGAGTGTGCGATTCAACAGCAATGGAACCCAGCTCCTGGCCCTGCGGCGGCGCCTGCCTCCTGTCCTCTATGACATCCACTCCCGCCTACCGGTGTTCCAGTTTGACAATCAGGGTTACTTCAACTCATGCACTATGAAAAGCTGCTGTTTTGCAGGGGATCGTGACCAGGTCAGTGCCTTCTGCCTGTTGCATCCCCATGTCTTTCTGTACTGATTTCAGTTCTTTTTTACCACATCAAGTAGAAACTATTGAAGAGAAATAGAGTCTAGAGAGATTTTGGCTTCATTGTGACTTCTGTTACCAGAATGCCAAAGAGTATGTTCAGGACACACTCTAAACCAAGGGTAGCCACAACATGGTTTTAAAGCAACCTAGTTTTCCAGTTTTATGACTAGATTTTAAAATTCTAAGAATGTGCCACTCCCAAAACGAGGGGCTCATGGAAAATTAGCCTGTCAGTGAAATACATTTTGGGTTTATTAATGTGAATAAAATACAGTGATGACTAAAGCACCCTACGTACCATCCATGAGACATATAGCTTAGCTTCTTGGGATGGCATCGTTTTTTTTGGATGAAATGGGCTGAGCACCTTTGTCTGAGAGCCAGATGCCCTTTGTTTTTCCTCTCAGCTAGAGCCCTAGTTATGAGTTTTTAGCTAGCCTTTTTGGGTCACTAAGATTGGAAGGAGAATCTGACGTTGATTTAAAGGTGGTGGTTTAGAGGCTAGAGAAATGGCTCAGTGGTTAGGAGCACTTGCTGCAATTCCAGAGGACCTGAGTATAGGTCCCAGTACCCACACTGAGCAGCTCACAGGAGCTTGGAATCAATCCTTAGCTGAGGTCCATATTGGATACCACTAGAGGACCTCAGTTATATAAGCAGTGTATCCTTGGGGAGGCCACAGAGCCTAAATGACTTAGGACTTACTTTCTGTTTACTTGTGTGGTATTATAGACTTTTCTTTTTTTATAAGACAGGATGTCTAGTAGCCCAGGCTGATGTAGGACTCACTAAGTAGCTGAGGATGACCTTAAATTTCTGATCCTTTTTCCTCTACTTCCTAAATTAAGTCTTGAGATTATAAATCTAGGCCACCACACTCAGTTTGTGCTATGCTAGGAATTGAACTCAGGACTTTGTTTATGCCGAGAAGCACTAGTGATCAGATTCACGATAGAACACATAACTTTCTGTTACACAGAATGGTTGATGTAGTTTCATGTAGATGTGGAAATGTCAACCAGGCCTCCCCTTTTCTTTTTTTCTTCAGTCTTTGCTACTGTTGATTTTTTTTCTCATCTTCTTTTAACCTTTTATGCATGTGATTCTTATTTCATTGACTGATACAAAAACATGGAGCAAATGCAATAGTTTATTTCTTTCCTGTGATGACATGGGTAGAAGGAAAGAGGAAAGAGGTAAAAGGAAGTGGGCGTTGAATTCTTTTCAGACTGTTAGCAGCCAAAGCTGGTCTTCATGTGATCCTTAAAACATTCAGATCAAAGGCCTCTGCCAAAATGCAGCATAAATAGACCATAGTTTCTTCAACTGTAGTACTGTTAGTGCTTTGACTGGTACGTATTTGCCATGATGGGTTGTCCTATGCATTGTAAGATGGGTAGTGGCCTCCCTGGCCTTTGCTTACTAGATGCTGGGAACAGCATCCTTATTTGTTCGCTTGACAAACAAGAAATGGCGCTAGGCTTTGCCATATGCCCCCTTTGGGGCAATGTTGTCTCTGGTTGAGAACCTGTGTCCTAGACTGTAAATTATTCATCATTCCCAGAAGCATTGGGACAGGTATTGCAAGAGCAGGGCCATGCAGAATATTTTGAAGAAACCATTGGTTTTGCCTTGCAGATTAATGTGTAATGATAAAAACATTGAGTGCTTTTGATTGTCTCTATTCAGATTTGACTGAGCTATTTGTGACTTTTATCTTTTTTCTTTTCTTTTTTTTTTTTTTTTTTTTTTTTTTTTTAAATTTTGTTGGGTTTTTTTTGGTTTTTTTTTTTTTTTTTTAGATGGGTTCTTTTTAGCCCCCGCCAGCCTAGAACTCCCTTTGTAGACCAGGTTGGCCTTGAACTCACAGAGATCTGCCTGCCTCTGCCTCTACCTCTACCTCTATCCCAAGTGCTGGGACTAAAAGGCATGTGCCACCAAGCCCGGCTGTGACTTTTATCTTAAGGGGAGAGTTTATGGATATTTTATTCTCTTTGTTAAACTATACTGCGTTTTGGTTGCAATAAATAGTTTTTCTTGGATGAAAGAAGATGTGAAGCTATTGACTCTGGCCTTGAACCAGTCAGTCTTCAGTATGTTTATATCCCCTTTATAGATTATCAGAAACATCTTACCCAGTGGAACAGGAAATAATAGATTTATGTTTGATTTTTCTGTTTGCTCCTTAGGGACTAATAATGTAACTGATTCATCACTGTTCTGTCTCTAAATCTTAGCACATAGTAAGAACACAATAAATTTTGTTGAAGTGACTCTTGAATGCTTTGGTCAATGTGTGTTATTTAGTTTTCTAGACATAAAGCTGCTCTAACTAAATCAGGATTCATAAGTCTCATTTTTCCATTTTAACTTCCAGAGGCCTTTAGTAGGATGAATTAAATAATGACTTTACAGTGAAACTAGCCAACTAAGCCTATGGTTTTTAAGTCTGCTAAATAGTCCAGACTTATTGTTCTAGTCTTGAAACATATCTCTCAAACTGGCTTTTTTTTTTTTTTAACTGG